CCTAGGGGCTGGAGGGGGAGCCCTGGCACCATCTGGCTTCTCCTCCTGCAGGGCGCTGCTGCAGCAGCCTGCTCTTCAAAGAGCAGCAACCCAAATGCTTCCTGCGGTGCTGCTCAATCTCAAATCCTCCCAAAAGGACAGGAGCATCTCAAGGAGAATTTTTTTTATATATATATATATTTATTTTATTATTTTTTTTAGGCTTGGGAAGGAGCTCTGGGTGCCGTGCACTGCTCTGCGGCTGCAGTGAGAAAGGAGAAGAGAAAGTCCCAGTCCTGAGTGCTGAAATGTGGGGCTTATCCTAGTGATTAAACGACTGGGTTCCTTCCAGAGGGCAGTGATGGGTTCGGATGTGTCAGCTCCCACACACGCACGCTCCATATCGGTCGATACGGGAGGAGCTCAGCCAGCAGAGGGCAATGGCATAGATGCACGTATATGCTCATACGTGTATGTAAAACATACTCCAAAGTTTCTGGGGGGACTCTCTCATATTCAAGCAGAGAAAGGCCAGGACTGTGTACACGCTCACCCATGCACACTCACACATACTGCTTGTGGGCTGTTCAGTGAGTACTAGTGGTCTGCCTGAGTCTGTGTTGCCAATATTCCTATTTTTTAAACTAGGAACGCCTTTCCTCCTCCCTGTCTGAGAAAAAAATAAGCTGTTAAAGTGTGAAATGAAGCCTTGCTTGATAAAGAAATGTATCAGATGGGCTGGTGCAGTTCTGCTTGTGGAGCAAATATCTGGAAGGGGGGGGTGAAAGCTAAGCCCTCCTTTCCTGCAAGAATGAACCCTACTGAAGCAAGAGCAGGACTTTTCCTAAGTAGGCAGAGACTGCCTCAAAGATGCAGTTGGCAGCAGGATCCTACCAGGCACAAGCGATCAGCTTTCTGACAAGGGTCCTAGCCCAGTGCCTGTGCATGGGGAATGCAAAAGGCAGGGAGAAACCTCTCTTGCTTGCTTTCCAGTTCTACCTGGCTTTGTTTCAGGGAACAGGATAGTGATAATAACCATCTTAATAGCTTCTGGAAAGCAAGGCAGGATTTGACAATGTGAAGCTTAAACGGCAGTAGCAAACATCAAGCAGACATCTGCTGTTCAGAAGGTTTCTGGAGTGATGCTCCATCAGCCCCACTGCCTAGTCCTGACCACACTGTTTTTATTTGGATCTTAATTCTGGAACTCACATCTCTTTGGAGAACAGCTGCCAGCTGACATGGGGAGCTTGGGCATTGTGTGATGGGGGAGGACAGCAGCCTCACTCAGCCCATGCTTTCTGCCCCTTAGAAGGAGCATGCCAACAAGAGCAAGGCAGGATCTCATCCAGTCTTCCCAAGCCCAGAGCCTTTGGTCTAAAGAGAAGGGGTCTCATGATGGTGTTTGGATGCTCCCTCGTATCATCTGTCTGTTCTCTAACTTGAGTGCCTTAGAATCACAGAATCGTTAAGGTTGGAAGGGACCTTTAAGATCATCAAGTTCCAACCCCCCTGCCATGAGCAGGGAACCCCACCACTAGACCAGGTTGCACAAAACCTCATCCAACCTGGCCTTAAAAACCTCCAGGGATGGGGCATCAACAGCCTCCCTGAGCAACCCATTCCAGTTCCTCAACACCCTTAGAGTGCAGAATTTCTTCCTAACATCTAAGCTAAATCTCCCCTGTCTCAGTTTAAAACCATTACCCCTTGTCCTATCACTATTTTCTCTGATGAAAAGCCCCTCCCCAGCTTTCCTGCAGCCCCTTTCAAGTATTGGAATGCTGCTATAAGGTCTGCCTGGAGCCTTCTCTTCTCTAGGCTGAACACCCCAACTCTCTCAGCCTGTCTTCATTATTTTTATTTTTTTTAAATTTATTTTTTTTTTATATCCTGGTCTCCAAACTTGCCTTCTAGCAAAGAAATGCAGGGATGCTTCTATCTGCTTCCTCTCTGACAACAGGCATTTGATTTCAAAAAGCCTAAGATACTTTATGTAGATGGCTGGCAGAAAGAAAGTCTAAGCCCTTCTAGCCAGGCCATGGACACTGCCCCATAATCATGCTGGTGTCCTGAATGAAGGAAGTGCCTGGTCTGATACTAAAAAACAACTTCCTAGCTGTTCTTGCCAGTACTGCTGGGCATGACCCATGCAGAGGGCCTAGGGACTGCAGTTTGGCAAAAGTCCTGGGAAGAAGCTGTTCAGTGGGGTCCCTCTCCAGCCAGGTCTAAGCCAGCAGAAATCCCACCTCCCTCAGGAGTGACACAAGTAGTCCTTTATTGACTTGCCAAATCCCTCTTTGAGCCTGGTTCTTTCTTAAAAGGGGCTCTACCCTGGGGACACCATCAGATCGTGATGTTGGGCCAGCTTTTGTCTTCAGATCTTGTTCCCTCTGAGGGAACAGACCCGTCCTTCTTGAGGTGTTCACCCCCTTCCCCCATCTCTTCTTTCTGAAGTGCAGCTGATGCTGCAAGCAGCTTCCTCACTCCCCAACAACTCTGCAAGAGCTGGTTTGCCCTCAGAGGCAGCCTGCGCAGCCGCTCTGCCAAACCTGATCAAACCCCAGCCTTCAGCTCTGCTGTTCAGGGGCCACGCAGTGATTAAGAGCAGAAAGGCATCTGAAAGAAGCAATCTCCCTGGGTTATTTACAATTTGCCAGCCGATGAAGAACTGTTTGAGAAAGCAAGAGGAAGCAGCATAAGATCTGCCTCTTTTCACATACAAATGAGCCTCAAAGAGCCTAAATTATCTCTCTCATCCCTGCCGCAGGGCTGGGTCTCCACATCTGGCTTGGAGCGTGCCCAGATGACAAGGATGAGGAGCTATTCTGAAAGACTCCCAGCCTTTGGAGACTTCTCTTGCTTAACCTTGAGAGGTCAAAAGCTCTTCTCTTATATTTCTGACTGGAGAAGATCTCTTCTCGTGCTGTCAAAAGACTTGTGGAGGGAGGGCAGGATAGCAAGATGGGGACCTGAGAGGAGGAGTGATCCCTGTTCAGCTGTGCTGAAGGAAGAGCAAGATCCTGCTTCTGGGGTGGATGGAAGTGCTCACTGGTGATCAGGGAGGGCAACACATGATGTGGATCTGTCCTGCTGGCCAGGCTGCCTTCATTATCCCCATGTGAGCTTCACCTGCACATCTCAGGCTGGAGCTAGAGCTCAGGCAGGTCTTCTGTGTGCCTGAGGTGCAGCACCTCTCCCGGCGGCTCTGGGTGAGCAGCATGTCTTTTCTTCAAGGGGTTCTGACTGTTCTTATTCCTGCTTCCCATTCCCATCACTAAAATCACTAAAACCAACAAAAATCAGTTCTGCAGCCACTGTAGGCGACTGGTGTTTGGGGAAAAGTGAAGACAATAATAGGTGATCCTTGGACACAACCCAGGTAATTCCTTAAATCTGAAGCAACTAGAGTATCAGGTAAGGAATGAAAAACTTCCTCTGCTTTAGGAGGACACACACACACTCACACACAGGCACACTGCCCCAGCTAGCCCAGTCCTGACCTTAAACCTACTCAGAAACTCTCAGTGTATTTGAATTGAGACTCTGGATTTGGATTGTGATTAATTGCTGTTAATAAAAAATGCCACTGGTATTGCTATGAGTTTGAAATGGACAGGGCCCCAGGGAGGTGAGAGTAGAGATGGTTTTGGGGGTGGTGAAGCTCTGGGGTCATCTCCTCTGGCTCACTGAGCCTCACAGCTCCCAGCATCTCCACCCCCCTACCTTCAGAAAGCAAAAGGCACCCGACGCTAGCACCTATGTGCCATTGCAAAAAGAAGAGCCTGTGGACTTACGGAGGAAATATTCTGCTGTATCGGCTTCATAATCTGCATCCTCAGGGAAGTGATCGATTTGCTTACACAGACCTTTAAAATTCCCTAGGGAACAAGAGAAAAAAAGAACAAATGAGAACACCAAAACCTGCCTCACAGGAACAGCTGCCCTCTGTGTTGCCCTGTGTACCCACCCTGCCCATGCTGCCCTGGCAGCACACCCACTCATTTATGGATGCCCATTAAATGCCCAGGTACTCTCCTCACACACGTATCTCCCTCTTATTTGCACAGGAACGTGGGATTCACTGTCTGGGTACAGCCTGATGCCCACCTAGCCCAGTGGCCCTCCATCAACGGCGAAGACCACCAGATGCATCAGGTATGACTCCAGCTGCAGATGGACAGGAGATCACTGCCTGCCTCTGAAGGATGTGGGAAGGTGGCCAGCAACTGGGTCACACTGTGAAGCACAAGGGTCGGGGTCCCTTCCCTCAGCATTGACTGGTGTAACTGCGGATGTTTGTGTTTCACCTCGTGTGGCCTTGGTGGCCCCAAGCAGAGCTGTGTGATCACACGGCAGAGTGATCAGATTTGGGAGGAAAAGTGTTTGTTTCTCTCAGCTGTGAGTTTGCTGCCTATTCGTCCCATTAGCAGGATGCATCCCTTGTTCTGGTCTGGTTAATCTACTTTTTTTTCATATGACTTCTTGTTTTTGCATACCTCTACCACACCTCCTCTTGTGTCCCCTCACGGACTAAGGCAAAGCAGCCTTTGTAGCGGGGGAGCAAAGCCTTCCACCATAAGTGAGGGAAGCTGGGCTGGTCACCCTCAGTTTCATCTGGCTGATTTATGTACAGGGCCTTCTGCCAGCTTTAGTCACAGGGCACCCTTTTTCACACTGTCCACAACCAGCAAAGCCCATCGCAGTGGGAGGCCAATGGCATCTTCCCAGTCTCTTGTCATCTAGGAAGTGTACCAGGCTCTTATTTTCATCATTCATGTCTCTGTCCTGTTGAAATCAGGACTACCACTCCAGAGAGTTAATCCTCAAGCCACCTCATCATAATGACCGTTGGATGACTAGTACCTCAAAGGATCAGGTTGTTCATGCTTGTAGAGGAGTGAGCATATGGAATGTAATTTCATTATACATCCTGGGGTTCCTCCAAACATTTTTTGCCACCTCCCTTTACATTTCCCTCTGGATTCTTGCTCTGGCTGGCCATTAACACAAAACTGATGGACATAACCTGTCTGGAAAAGAGGAATGCAATGTCTGCATGAAATGCATGGGTAGGCATGGTGATCCCATGAGACCCCTCACCAGAGGTCAGCCAACAAAGTGGCTCAGGCTGACTGATCCCTCAGCAGAAGAGTTTGAAGCCTGAGTCTGGAGAGTAACAAATGCTGTGGCAGCCCTGGAAAGCCATCTGCCACCCTGCCCCTGAGCCCAGCAGCTGGACCAGCTGGGTGTGCAGTGTGAGGGGACAATGAAGTCACCATACTTATAGTTGTTGCCTCTGGAAGGGTTCCTTGTGAGGAATCCAGAGCTCTTCCAAGCCAACTTTACCCAGTCTGAGACCTGCAGGTACCATGTCAGGTCCCTGAGTCATGTCTTGGAAGGTTTATTCCAGATTAATTCCAGTGATATTTCTGGTATTTGGGAATAGTTGGAAGAAGGACCAAGTCCAAAGGATTCCCCCTGAGTTTCTTCTTGAGGCCAAACTTTGCTGGACCAAGGTTTGGGATGCTTTGGGAAACAGTGCTGCGTAAACAGAAGTAGAAAGCAGGTAGGTAGGTTCCTCTAGGTCAGCCCCCAAGCTTGGCTCCTTCTGCATCCAGTTGGCTTGTGTCTGATGCTTCTGAGATACCTATTGCCTTTAACTACTAGTTCAAAGAACTTCCATGAAGAGGCTAGAGACAGCACAGAGGAATGTATGTGCGTGTAAAAGGTAAGTAATAGGAGAAGAAAGTAGGAACAAAGCCTCTCTGTGTATTTCTGAAGTGTTATTTCCACACTGAAACTGTGGGTTATGAAAGGAGGTTATTAATTACCCAACCCCAAACCAATTACCTCTTTCAAGAAGTGTCTGCTTCCCTGCCATGGCTCTTCTGGAAGGAAAGCTTCACAGCCAAGCAAATTCCCTTGCCACACTCCCACTCTGCTGCTGCTTGCCCACCACACCCTGCCCTACTTGCCCACTTAAATACCCGTGAGCTAGGCAGATACAGCATGAAGGGGATCCTTTCCCTTACTTGCCCCTGACTACCTGGGGCCATCTGCCCTGGTCCTTTGGCTGTGGTCATTGCTGTACAGTGCACGTGAACACTGCCCAACTCCAAGGCACCAGGGCAGCCTCCAGCCTCAGACTCAGCTCCTTTCCCAGCAGTTCCTGAATGCTGAGTGTCTCCTGCCTGAGCATGCACCTCCCAGAAGAGGCTCTCAAAGCACAGTCAGAGCCCCCCAGTTGGAATCAGCCAGGGAAAGAAGGGGGACTGCATCTGGAAACCTTTTCACTCTGTGTCATCCTTTCCTTTCCCTACTTCCTCTTTCTCCCTCTCCCTGGATCCATTACTTCCTATATTGGAGCCTGTTTAAATCCTATGCAAAATCAAGCTGCTTGGGAAAGGTGCTGCACCTTTTGCAGGGTGTCTTTTATATGGCCTTGTATGGGACAGCTAGTGAGAGGTTCAGCCATGTAGACAGGGTGAGCAGACATACAGGGTCTTTGAAAATCTGTTGGAGAGAGTCCAGAGGAGGACTACAATGATGATCAGGGTGCTGGAGCACCTCTCCTATGAGGACAGGCTGAGAGAGTTGGAGTTGTTCAGCCTGGAGAAGAGAAGGCTCCAGGGAGACCTTATAGTGGCCTCCCTATACCTGAAAGGGCTGCAGAAAATCTGGTAAGGGACATTTTACAAGAGCATGTAGGGAGAGGACAAGGGGTAATGGCTTTAAACTAGAAAGAGTAGATTTGGGTTAGACATCAGGAAGAAATTCCGTAGTGTGAGGGTGGTGAGACACTGGCACAGGTTGCCCAGGAGAGGCTGTGGGTGCCCCCTCCCTGGAAGTGTTCAAGGCCAGGTTGGATGGGACTTGGAGCAACCTGGTCCAGTGGGAGGTGTCCCTGCCCATGCAGGAGGGGTTGAACTAGATGTTCTTTAAGTTCCCTGCCAACCCAAACCATTCTATGATTCTATGAAAATCTGCTCCTGGTGCTGAGTGTCCAAAAGGTCTTGCTGATGTGGTGCAGCAGGGTGATTTGCCACCTGGGGAGTCCAGCCTTGGCTTGTTTAAAATACTGTGGCATTGAGGAGCTGCCTGTCACCACAGGCTGTTGCACTGTACCAGGCTGGTCCCCCTCCCTGGCTCAGCCCTGCTGGGCTTCATGAGGTCAGGGTGGGCAGCCTTGGTCCTGCTTTAGCCCCCACCTTGTCTGTGCTCGACACAGAGTGCCGTGACTCTGGATGCTGCCTGTTTGCCTGTGCTACCACACCCTCTCTTCCAATGCCTCCCAGCTCCTCTGGGCGATAGATGGGGAGAGGATGTGGAATTTAGGTCATTAATGCGGTAACTGGGAATGTAAGAGAACAAGATTCAGTTCTTGCTCTGCCACAGGCAAGCTGTTAAAACCACATCTTCTCTCTGCCTTAGAGTCCCACCCTATAAAACGGGGGTGACAGCCCTCCTCTGCCTTGTGCCACTCAGGGATGTGTTAAAGAGGGCATGGAGTGGGTGCTCTGGTGCCAGCAGCTCTGCAAGTGCACAGAGCAGGTGAGCGACGGGTGGCGACGGCTCAGAAGCCACCCCAGTGCAGGGACGGCCTGGATGTCACTTCTTGCACCAAGGTCACTCGGCGATGCTCTGACAGACATCTGTGGCCTGCTGAGACAGTGCAGCAGCCTCCCTGGCACCTGTGCTGGTGGAAGCACTGCAGCCACACACGGGGAGGGGGATGGAGTAGCTCAGCAGAGCTGCTGAGGTCTGACACAACAGCCTTTTCCCGTTCCGCACGTGCGGTTTGTGGAGCCAGGGAGCCAAGAGCCACGTGCCACCCTATAGTTAATACTCCTGAATGCCTGAGCAAGAGCAAATAATTATTTGGGATGGGAGTGTGGGATTCTGAGACCCCCTCAAGGGAGTAAGAGCAATGTCTCCTCTGTACTTGTGTCCCTTTGCCCTTTCCATTCTTCCTGATGAGCTATTTCATGCTGTGAACCCTGAAGCAGGCAGGTGCTGAGCTCTCTGCCTTCTCCTGCACAGCTCCCTGAGAAACTGAAGCCATGCACTTCCACCTCTTCCCTGCAGCTTTTCCAGTGCAGTTCAGGTTCTCCCCTTGTCATCTTTTTTGTGCTCACCCACCAGCTCTGCCTCCTGTTCCTCAGCCTCTCTCATGCATCACAGCCACCTCCCTCCCCCTGGTGTATCAATCAGTGTGGGCATCCTTTGAGCAGCTGGCTTTGGGATGGCCAAGGGAGGCAGAGAGGAGCTCTTGACTTGTTTCAGGGCAGAAAGGCTGGGGACAGCCAGGTCCATGCAAAATCACAGAGCAGCCCCCAAGTCCCTTGGGTATTACTGGGAGTCCTTAGATGAGATCTGCAGCATTTGCTTGTTGCCTGCCCAAGCTTTGGAAAACACAGTCTGGAGGAGCTAGGGCTGGTGCAACAGGCACCCCCCCCAGTGCCCAGACTTGGTCAGAAGTTGCCCAGCCAGAGCATTAAGAGCAGAGACAACCTGCCGTACTGCCAAGAGGGACTAAATGTCCATGATGCATGAAAATCAACAGCAACTGTGCCTTCAGCCCTCAGAAAGACCTCCTCCAGTGGAGCCAGGTCACTGTTTGGGTACATGCTGTCTATCCAGGACAGCTGGCAGCTGGCAGCTCTGCTGCAGCGAGAGTCGGACGGAGTTACCCCCCATGAGAACCTGGCTCAGTATTGTTGGTGATACGGTTTATTTTTGTGCCACTTTGTGCAGCCCTGTCTCTTTCAGAAGTCCTGCTTGCCTGCAGAGTGCAATCCATTACAAAATACTAAGTTCCAAAGAATGAAAATCTCCTCCCTTCCTGTGGGGTAGGAACACTTTTAAATGGTCAGAGCTG